GTGAAGCCTTGCACAATTGACCTCCCCTGTCGGAATCTCTCAACTTCTTCACCCATCTGTGGACACGGCACTAGGTCCGTGATCTTTCCGTAAAGATTCAGTGAGGTCGTGAGACAGAAGTGTTTGCCCCAAACTGGAACACACCCAACAACGTAATCACACTGTGACTGCAGCCGCTGCGGAGCCTCTCAGCCCAGGCGGGTCTGCGCCAGACCTGTGTGTCTTCCTCCCCTACCAGCTGTGTCCCCACCTGGCCAGTGACCCGGGTGGCATGCCTAGGGTTGTGCCCACCCTCTGGGGGAGACAGATCTGGTTGTCCAGGGCTAACCTCCAGCCCAAGTGCTGCTCGGAGTAATTTCCACAGCCACCGCCACCACCACCGCCACCGCGGCATTAGCTTGCCGCTGTGCACCGGGGCTAATGTATGTATTATTTACAAAGCTTCCCGATGTACTCAAAGAACTCCCCTGAGAAGTATAATTGTGCACTGGGAGGTACATGTGAATAATATTTACAATTAATTTCCATCAACAAACGAATGCAGCAGGACCTCTGTGCCGCACCAACGGGCCCAGGGTTGGCTTCCCGCTAACCACTCCCCCGAGAAAGCGCAGAGCTTTTAAATACCTCCCAAGCCCTCCACATTCTCCAGCTTCCCCAGTCCAGAGACCTCTGGGGCTCCTGCTGAGGCGGACTAAGCTCCCTGGAGGTCCCTGGCAGAGTGCCCGTGTTATGCCTCCTTCTGGAAGGAGACGTGCTTCACAGATCATGAGCTCTCTGGGCTATGGGTTCTGTATAACTGCTTTTCTGATAATGTTCTAATTAATCTATAAAACACAGCCAAAATTAATGAATGCTTGGGTTGTGAACTGTGGAGGAAAGGGGAAGCTGGACTTGGACTTTATTTAGATATAGCAGAATGAACTATTCCTTAAAGACCTCAAGCCTCAAGTTGCTAGATAATAGAAAGTATAATAGTTCAGGCACTTCTAGGGAATGAACACTCACCCACTAGGAATCCTTTAGGAATCCCAACTAAAGTGATTTATGGCAGAAAACATTATCTCACAGGAGGCAGATGGTGGGCCCTTCTGTTGAGGAAGTTCAGCATGGAAAACTTAAGGACTACAGCAGAACCCCTTCCCCTTACAGGTGTAAAAGTACAAGAGTCCATATTCTAGCAGGTAAAAAGGTTTTATATTAGAAGAGATATATGGTAAAGAACTGAAGAAAGACTTAGGGAGGATCTGCAGCATCCAAATTGGCTAAAAGGGTCATGAGAACCAGAAAAGTAGAAGTTCATAATAAACTAGAGAGCGGCTGAGATAAAGATGAAGGACACAGCCGCAACCGCAAAGAAGCCTTCACAAGTCTAGGGACCGTACTAAGTTTATAAAACACAGACTGCTCTTTGGGTCATAAAGTTCTTGTGAGTGAAGGGATATGTCTAG